CAGTGTCGGTAAGTAAAGAATGGGTGTATTTTGAAGATACATGTGTGAGAAAGAGAGGAACCTAGGCTGATACCAAGGGTTCGTTCTGAGCAGCTGAAAGGATGGAGGAGCTAGTTTGGAGGAAATAGACGCAGCATTTACAGGGGGAAAAGTTATGCAAGCTTTGGGAAAGTTAAATATTTAACTGTGTGTTTCAAGTACCTTTGGCTATGAGGAGAAGTCTGGGGGGAAAAAAACCCAAAACCCAACATTCACCCTTTGAGTACTTCCTATGTACCAGACCATTTTGTGAGTGCTTTGTCAGTCAGTATTAACTCATTCCCTTTATAAGAGGGAGTACTATTGTTAGTTCCATTTTACAGGTGAGAGAGTATACACACAATTAGATGAAGTAACTTGCCCTGGGAGATAAGGCTGGATCCAGGATGGGAACCAAGTTGTCTGGTCCCACGGATCTTCATAGGAAAGTAGAGAAGAGAGGCATCTTTCCATTGTTTTCCGCTTACTTCTTGCTGGCTGCATGGGGCTCTGAGGTTAGGTATGCAGCCACCTGTTGCTGTTTTGTCTCTGCTGGAGGAGGTTGCTCCAGGGTCTCTATCTCTAAACTTTCAATCTTCGACTAGGAACCTAGATACAATGATTCATCGAAGATTTCTAAACCGATGCATAGAATGAACTAGACCAACAGAAGACCCATTTGTGAGAAACAGAAATTTGCCTCACCTGTTTGCATTATTCTTCATTTTTCCTTCAAGAGAAACACTGTGTTTTATTGTAAGAAATGTAAAGGGCCAACATGAAAATACAAATAATTCAGATAACTTCTTTTCTGAGCAATTGAGATCTACTTTGAAAGATGGTTTTAATATCTTTTGTTAACTGTTGACAAAGGAATGTGTTGAAGTATATTTTAAATATAAAGAGCAACAACACAGTTTAATAAACAGAATAGTGTCATCTCCCTCAAAGCTCCTCTGTCTCCTTACTTATCTTGCCCTCCTCCTCCATCACATTTCCTTCCCTCCACCCACATCACCACCTGCCAGAGCTTTGTGATAATGCCTGCTTTGCTTTTCTTGACAACTTTACTATAGTCATTACCTGCGTCTACCTAGTGTCAAACCATATGTAGATGAACTAATGCTGTATTGATTATTTCACACAAAGGTATACCTGTAGGCCTTCCCCATGTGGTTGCTTAGCTATAGTTCTTTTGGTTTTTATTTCTGTGTATTCCATTATAGTCACATGAGGCTTCAAAAAGTTGGTGGACTTTCACTGCCATCTATAGCCATCTGCAAACTGTGTTTAGAATTTAGGCGCTGATACTAATACTAACCCTCCTCCGGGTTTGATTTCCATTATTTACAATTCTTGGGACCCATAGGGTAGTGTGCTTCTTCAGTATGAGCCTAGTCGAGACATCACTTAGATGGCGGCTTGATTTAAGACAAGCCTTTTGACCCCAGGTACTATTCTTTCTGAAAACTGGGCACCATCCACTTTCTTCACCACACTTTGCTGTACCACCCATATCTCCAGGGTCCCCCATTTAGATTAAGCCTCAGGTGAATCCCCTCTAACTATGGATCAGGGATAGGAAAGGCCTTGTTACCAGACAGAGAACATTATTGGACAATGACTACAGTTGTAGTTATTAAAACTGTGACACCTTGTCATTTGATCTTCCAAAGTATAATTGTTCCAGTTTTTAATACTTTCTGCTTTGTTTTAGTCTGATGTTTTCCTCTGCTTCCTTCTATCGTTGTTGGTGTTTTGCTTTGATTTTGTATGTGTTTCTGTATATGAAACTCTGGCTAGATAAACCTATCGCAACAACAACTGGATTAATAGTTTTAAAGGGACATGGTAGGGAGGTTGGCAGGAAATGGAGAGCTAACAACAGATACAAGAAAGAAGAAATATCCTGGGATTGATAGTGGTGATGGTTGCACAACTCTTCATGAATGTAACTGAACTAGTGGAATGTATGACATGTGAATTGACTGTTGGTGAAAATGTCAAAATAAACTAGTTACTTTTTTAAACTAATTTATTAAAGCCTGTGGGAAAATGACATTATCTGTTCATTCTGTTTTTTCACAAACTTTTGAACCCCCTCTATTCACTCGTTGCTGTTGTGCTGACTGTATCACAATTCACTTGTTGTTGTTGTTGTTGTTGTTGACTACTCAAGTTGATTTTCTCTTTGGTGAGTAAGGACAGTGCTTCTGAGAGTGCTCTGCTTTCTGGTCTCTGTGCATTCTTCACGTGTGGGTAAAGCAGGAGGAGGGTTGCAGGGCTGCGCTTGTGTTCAGAGGGGCCTGGGTGGTACATGGCCAAGCATCTGGCTACTAACCAATACGTTGGTGATTTGAACCCACCAGCAGCTCAATGGGAGAAAGAAGTTGCCATCTGCTTTGGTAAAGATTACAGCCTTGGACACCCCAGGGGCAGTTTTACTATATTCTGTGGGGTCATTATAAGTCAGAATCAACTTGATGGCAATAGGTTATGGTATGCGCATCTTCAGTAGGATCGGATAGCTTCAAGTCATTTCTGAACGGTCCCACCATCCTATAGGAACGATTGTGTGGTCCCACTACCTCATTTCCTCTCGGGATTATCATTGTTTCCTACTTCATCAGGTGGGTATTGGTGTAGTAACAGTATCACATGTACATTTAATTTGCATTGTCTAGATTAATCGTACTCAGGGTTTGTCCCCTTGCTTATTATCAGCCTTTTGGATTTCTTTTTCCCAAAAATGTCCAGTCAGATAGATTCAATTCTGTTGAGTTCTCTGCTTGTTTTCTGACTAACTTGTAGGGATTTTTCTGGACTCTGTGTGGGAGGAATCGTCTACTTTGTAGATGGTTTTGTCACTTTCTTTTTGGTGCCTTTTGGTGACTAACAACAAGAACAAACCCACCGCCGTCGAGTCAGCTCTAACTCAGACCAGCTCACAGAGCAGAGTGGAGCTGATCCTTTGAGTCTAAGTCTTCACAGGAGTAGAAAGCCTCATCTTTTCCGTATGAGCTGCTAGTGGGGTTGAACTGCACACCTTGCATCTAGAAGGCAATGCATAACCTTTTGATGACTGGCAGTTCACCAGGGCTCCTCCTTCGGTGAATAAAACAAAAAAACAGACTCACTGCCATCGAATCAGCACTGGCTCATAGTGACCCTATAGGACAGGGGAGAATGATCCTGTGAGTTTCCAAGACTTAACTCTTTACAGGAGGAGAAAGCCCCATCTTTCTCCTGTGGAGCTGCTGGCGGTTTTGAACTGCCGACCTTGTGGATCGAGGTCCTCATAACCACTGTACCACCAGGGCTTCTAATCCCTTGGTGAATTGTAGTTATAAATTTTAATGATGTGAATGTTTTGTGTGTAGAATTGTTTGTCTTTTCTATTTAGTAAGTTCCCTGCTTGCTTACAGGAGAAAGATGAGGCTTCCTACTACCAGAGAGAGTTCCAATCGTGGAAGCCCGCAGAGGCAGCTCTACTCTGTGCTGTAGAGTTGCTGTGAGTCGGAACAGGCCCAACGGCACTGAGAGTGTTTGCTTAATGAAACCTTTCTCTATTCCAAAACCAGGAGCACATTGGATTGTAATGTCTCCTAAATATATTTTGTTTACCCTTTTATTCTTTGATATTCAGTTCACCAGTAAGCCTTCCTAGATTTATGTCCTGGTCCATAGTCTCGAGTTCCTTGGGCGGTGCAAAGTGTCAATGCTCTCTGGTGCTCGCCACCTTTCAGCGGTTTTCATCAGCGAGCTGCTCCTCACACGGATGGCCAGAGGAGAAACCAACTATGGAAATGCTGTGGAATACAGTTCTTCTACGCCGACACCTGTGGCGTCCCCATGGGTCAAAATCCACTCCATGAAAAAGGGGGAACCCCTCACAAGGTTGGAGATATAGCCGGCCCTGCCCTCCAGGAGGATGAATAACAGAAAGTTGGGTGAAGGAAGACAACAGACAATGTAAGCCATGGAAAAAGAATAATAATATGTAATTGATCAAGGATTCACGAGGGCGAGAGGGTGGGGGAAAAAAAGAGGAGCTGATACCAAGGGCTCAAGTAGAAAGAAATTGTTTTGGAAATGTCGATGGCAACATATGTACAAGTGTGCTTAATACTATTGAATAATAGATTGTTAGACAATTTGTAAGACCCACCAATGCAATAATTAATTTTTTTAAAAATTAAAAAAAAATTCACTCATGGCAGCTGCTTTGTTTTTTTGGTTTGTGTGTGTGTGGTGGGGGAGGAGTGGTGAACTTTCTAGTTGTCACATTGAAAACAAGCAGGGATATATCACACGCTTATTATGCACATTTATTTGTCTAGTCTTTGGCCTTCACCAAACTGGCTCAACTCTGCAGTGTAACTGAGTACGTTTTCTTGGGATGGCTGGTAGGCCATTAAGGAAGGAGGACACACAAGGTGAAAAGTAGGCATCTCTGGGTGGTGCAGACTTAACTACTAGTTAAGTGATTGGCAGGTTGGCAGCTAGAACCTACCAGAGATGCCTCTGAACACAGACCTGGGACCTTCCAAAAGGTCACAACGTTGAAACCCTGCTGCAGAGCAGTTCTTCCCCTGCACCTACGGAGTCACGTGGGTTGGAATGAACTCAATAGCAACTACCGGCGATAACAAGGCAGAATCAGCAGAACCCGTATTTGGGGTTTGAATGAACCTCGAATCAAGAGATGAAACTAGACCTAAAAATCACTCTTAGCCCTTCTGTGAAACTTTCTTTGACATGAGGGTCACGATACCTAAGTTTTACTACTAACTCTGACGCTGACTGAGCTGGGGTCTCAGTTGCTTTCTCTGAATCATAAGTGTATTTCCTGTATTTCTGTAGTTCCTTGCTTTGTATGGCTGTAGAGATTTCATAGGGTCCAGTGGCGTCAAAGTAAGACAATCACGAAAGATAACCACGTACAACTCTTTATATCGAAGGCTTTTGGGTTTCGTTCACAGCCCCACCGTTGACCATGCCCTGTTGGACATGCCCTTCCTTCGACGCCCTGGGGAGATGCCCTCTAGCATCCGAGAGCAGCTGGACTACCCATTCTGAAGACACCAGCAGCCCAAGTTTGGGCCCTTCATACACAGATCTGCAGCTCGCCAATGCTGAGGATCAGATGAGTGGCCGGGCTTCTGGGTCTGACTCGACTGGTAAGTTGAAGCACCAGACCAAAGGCTTTGCAAATCACTTGAGTCATGTGTCCCCAGTAGTGAAAAGTTCTACAGCCAGCTCCCTTTGCAGAATGAGTTCAAGTACAGCCATCCAATCAAAAGCTAGACTCCACAGTGGTTCAAAATCACATCAGAAGAAATGTGTAGAAAGAGATCGTTAATATGGAGAAAACATCTGATCGGGTATCTCTCTCACTGTGTTATATTAAGACTCTTGAGTACAAGTACCGTTCTCTGTCACTTTGTTTTCTCCTTGGATAACTCAGCAATGTGTAATATGCACACGACTGAATCTTCCATCCTTTCTGCTCAGAGAGAGGAAGGTAGAGGTAGGCAGGTCAAAGTGAATGTTATGAAGGAGAATGAGAACCAGGACTAAGTTACTGTGCCCAGATTACAAATCATTTTTCAGTTATAATGTTTTGTTTTGTTTTTAATTTCTTCTTCTTTTTTGCTGTTTTGCCTTAATTGATCAATCTGTGAAGCCCCATGGTCTTATTTGTTGAGTCAATGTAGTGTGGAATGTTGGCTTGCTTTGAAGTGGAAAAGGGGTCCGTCAACCAACACTGTTAGGGGCTAGATCTAGAAAGGCATTCCATATTCTTGGCACTTTGATTATCTGGCCAAGGAATTGTTTCCTCTGAAAGTGATTTTGTTGTTGTTGTTGTTATTGTTAGGTGCCATCGAGTCAGTTCTAACCCACAGGGACCCCAGGCACAACAGAACATAACCCTCTGGGTCCTGCGCCATCCTCACAAACATTCTGATGCTTGAGCCCATTGTGGTGGCACTGTGTCAGTCCATCACCTCGCGGGCCTTCCCCTCTTCATCTGCCCTCCCCCTTTACCAAGCACGATGTCCCTCTCCTGACAACATGTCCAAAGTATGTAAGACCACATCTCACCGCCCTTGCCTCTCAGGAGCCCTCTGGCCATACATCTTCCAGGAGAGAGCCATCATGTCCAGTCCGTTTTATGACAAACGTAAGTATAGTAGAAGGAAACACCGCTTACCATCCTTAAGGAGCCCTCGGTGGTATAGTTGGCTGTCCATTGAACCGTGATTTGAACCCACCAGCTATTCACAGGAGAAAGGTTAGGCTGTCTGCTCCAAGAGAGAGTTAAATTTTGGGAAACCCAAAGGGAAAATTGCACTCTTATCCTATGAGGTTGCTATGAGTTGGATTCAGCTTGATGGTACTGAGAGGTTTCTGAGTTTGGTGCCATCTCATAACTCTTGGTACGTTTGCATCCATTGCTGTGTCTGTTGTGGGGTGCCTTCCAGCCTGTGGCTCCTCTTCAACCACGATATCGAGCAGTATTTTATTGGGATCAAGAAGGTTTTTATAGGGTAGTTTGGGGGGAAGGATGGTGCCAGGCCTTTCTTCCTAGTCTGCCTTCATCTGGAAACTCCACTAAAAATTCTCCACCCTATGACCCTGCTGGTATTTGAAATACAGGTGGCATAGCTTCCAGCATCCAAGTAAAAAGCAAGCATGACTCGATGGCAGATGGGTGGCAGCTAAAAGCGATAGAATTACTGCAAGTTTCTCTGTGGATTAAATGACCCAGGGTGTGAACTCTATTTGTTTTTCCTTCCCAAGAATGTTACTTAGGAGTTGGTCTCCGCTCATGTTTCTGTTTGGAATAGCATGTATTCTCACGGTGTGTGCAGTCGGGTTCTGCAAGCAAAGGAGGGGGTTCTTCTGAAGGGTTCAGACAGAATTAGGGTTGGTTTTTGATAACATTGCAGAGAAGCCCCACGTATCCCAAATCCTCCTTTCACAAGCCACAGTTCTATTTTGTCTTCATGGATATGCCCCCACTTCTGATTGAGCTCTCTGACCAACGATGCCTGTCTGTGACTGAGATCTGCCCACTGTAGGGAGCAGTTCACAGAAGAGGGGACACCATATCACTCACTAGGGTAGAGTGTTTCAACAGAGTGACTGTGAGTTCCCCAGCCTCCTGTCAGAATCTTCCTGTGGGGGGAGCATGGAGTAGAGTATATAGTGGGTTCAAATCCTGGTTCTGACACTTGCCTCCTGTCTTAGCTAGAAATACCACACGTGGGTGACTTTAAACAGACACTTATTTTCCCGCTGTTTAAGAGGCTGGCAGTCTGAATTTGGGGCATCTGCTGGAGGGGAAGACATTCACTCTCCGTTGGCTTTGGGAGACGGTTTTTGTCTCTTTGCAGCTTCTTTGCTGGGCTCCTTGGAGAGCTCCACGTGGCATGTTATCTGCCTTCCTCACTCTCGGCATTTTTGTTATTTGCTTTTATATCCAAAAGTGATCCCTCTAAGACATACCTTAAGACAGTATTGCCTCATTCATAATGCAAAGAAGGTCCTATGCCCAAATGGGATTACAACCACACTATAGGAGGACTTACAACATATCTTTGGTTGTGGCTGCTGCTGCTGTTAGGTGCCATCAGGTTCGGACTCATAGGACCCTCCATACAGCAGAGTGGAACACTGCTTGGTCCTGTGCCAGTCTTCCCAATTTCTCCTATGTTTGAGCCCATTGTGGCAGTCACCATGGCAGTCCATTTCGTTGGCGGGGTCTTCTTCTTCTTTGCTGACACTCTACTTGACCAAGCATATTTTAGGGGCCCACAGTTCAGTCTATAACACTGGCTATGTGACATGAGACAAGGCTAAGGTGACCAGATGTCCCACTTTTGGCGGGACAGTCCCAATTTTTGGCATTTAAAAAAGTCCAGATTTTTTGAAAGATTGCACGACAAGCTAGGGAACGGTCTATTTGGTCCATATAGACCCAATTTTTTATCAAGAACCGCCACCCCCCCCAACCCGGTCAATGGTGTCTTGCTTTAAATCTGGTCACCTTAGAGGCCCTTTATCTTTGTCCTCGTTTCCTCATCCGGAGGATGAAAATACTGCTTGCTTGACCAGGTTACTGTGAGTCCCAGGTGAGATGATTTGTGTAGAGCAGCTTCCATGATGCCTGACACAGAATTGGTGATTTTCACGGCTGCAGCCTCTTTGTTGAGCCAGAGTTCTCCATGATGGCTCTCTTGCTGACGGGGAAGTCAGACTCAGCTCTCAGGCTGGTTTTTCAGTGGCCTCTATCTCTCGTTATTTACTGAGAGTTGCTGTAATCCCTAGAGGTTCAAATGATGGAGATCCAAGGGCTAGCCTGAACAGGACAGCATTCACCTGTCTCCAAAGCTCATAATTATCTTCTCTCTCTCTTTCCTAAAGCCTTCTAACAGTGTCAGCATTCACCTGTCTCCAAAGCTCATAATTATCTTCTCTCTCTCTTTCCTAAAGCCTTCTAACAGTGTCTCTCTCAGTTCTCGCTGAGAAAACGCCTCTCCTGATGTTTCAGTCAGGGCCCTGGCGGGAAGCTGAGGTTGCCCTCAAGTGGGCTCATCTGAAGAGAGTTGAATGAAGGTGTGGTGACACTCAGAGAGCCTTGAAGGATGGAGATGCTCTCAGAGCTTGGGAGCAGTGGGGGCTTTGGGATAACCTGGGGCATTTGGAGAAAAGCAGGTACAGAGGGGCCCCCATGGACCTCCTGAATTCCTAGAAGTCTGTGAAGAAGAGTGACATTTTCTTTCAGTAGAATTATGGGCAAATACATGGCCTAAAACTGGCAGAATACATTCTGTGAAATTTATCTCAAACATAAACAAAAAAAAAGCATGCATATATGAATGAACTAGTTTGCCAGGTAGGGTTCTGAATTCTTTAGAAAATCTAATGACATTCTCCTAGTAAGCCTGTGAGGTAGGAGTTCTTATTTAGCCCCCATGATGCAGAGTGGGAGACAGGGGAAGGCAGTGGGTAAGGAAAGTCCCCAGCTCACTTAGCCGGGGGCCTCCCTCCTCATGTACAGGGAAACCCTGATAAGCTGCTTGAGGACCCTCTCATGCTCACTGCATCACAAGCTTTGAATTGGGTGGATCTGTGAACTCTGCCAAGACTAATGCTTTCCAGTGGAAGAGCGGGTTCAAATGTCTTCCTACCAAGGGATATGTGAGATATTAGCCAAGAGCATGACCTTGTAGTCAGAACGAGCGGAGGCCTAGAGAAGACAGCATGCTGCTGCACTCAGGAACTTGGCTCACACCCTTGCTGATGCGCTCGTAACTCGAGTTGCCGCATCCTCCGAGCCTGAGCATCCCCTTTGTGAAGCTGGGATGGGGTCGCATGTGATGGCCCAGGTGCCCGGCCTGCGGGAAGCTCAGGCCTGGTAGACCAAATGGCTCCTTTCCGAGGGCCTGGGTCTTCTGGGTGCTTTAACACAGAAAGAAATGTTTCCATGGGCTGTGTAATGATTGGATGCTCATCCACTGACTTTTTAAAAAAATCAACTCAGAACAGTTATGGAATAGAATCAAGTTTCCCCTACTCCTTCTTCTCGGTGCCATCCCAGAGGTTGCTTTGTTTGTCCGTTTGCTGCGTTACCCTCCGACGCTGTACGTTGTGAGTGGCCATGGAGTTAAGGAGGACCTGGGGCCCTCCGGCCGAGCATTGAACTACTGACCACAAGGACAGGACTTCAAGCCTACCAACCACTCCTCAGAGAAAGCTGAAACTGCCTGCTCTTGTAAACATTTATGGCCTCAGACACCCTTGACCCTATGGCAGTGGCTTGCTTGTTGTTTCTTTTGGGGGGTGGGGGCTGGGGGGTGGCCTTGAATTCTCTTTTACTCATGGTGACTCCATGCACGAGGGATCAAAACTGCCTGACCCTGTGCCATTCTCAAAATTGGTTGTGGAGTGGACCATTGTGACCCTGGGATTTCCATTGTCTGATATTTGGTTGTGAATAAACCTAACCCAGGCCAAACCCATTGCTGCTGGGCTCTTTGGAATGAGATAATCAGGCCTTTACCTGGAAACTCCCCTGAAACCTGTTCAGCAGCACAACAGCACAAGCCTCCACTGACACATGAGGTGCATTAGCTGAAAACTGGACCTGGGTCTCCAAACCTGGGAGGTGGTA